TCCACTCACCTCAGCCTCCCAAAGGCGCGGGATGACAGGCCGAGCCACCAAGCCCAGCTTGCCTCTGCTTTTTAAAACGCCCCTCCAAAATCCTTCAGTGATCGTGTCCACATTTTCCACGCGTTGCTGCTTTTAGTCTTTCCGTCGTCTTGCATTGCCTCTCTCCTGTTGGGGTGACTCCAAGCCTTCCAGGACCTCGGTTTATCTCTCAAGTGAGGAGAGTAAGCAGCCGTGCGTGGCTCCTGTCCCTCTGCGAGCCCCAGCAGCGGCCCTCCCTCCGACCGCCCCACCTCCCACCAGCGGCACACGGCTGTGGTCCGGGGGTGCCGGGAAGCCTCTCGTGACCCAGCCCGGCTGACCTCCTGTCAGCGCCTCTGCCCCGGGGGTGAGGCCGCCCCCGCCCACCTGTGGTCCCCGGAACTTTCTCCTTCAGTTGGTTTTGTCCACATGAAAATGGCCTCTCAGTGAACAAACAGTGCCTTGGTCCCTCGTTACAAGGCAGAAGTCTGCCATCAGTAGTGAGGCTTATACGAGGGGAAAAATGACATGCCTGTTTGCAGCTCAGCTGTGATCAGCAATGATGTTCTTGGCAGTTCTTGAGTTACCATGCGAAATTTGTTAGGTTAAAAAGTCTCTGGCTGGTTGTGGCGACTCATACCTGTAATCCAAGCACTTTGGGAAGCCAAAGCAAGGGGATCACTTGAGCCCAGGAATTCAAGACCAGCCTGGGCAACATAGTGAGATCTCTACAAAAAGCTGACAGATTAGCCACGCGTGATGGTGCACACCTGTAGTCTCAGCTCCTCAGGAGGCTGGGGTAGAAGGATCGCCTGAGCCCGGGAGGCCATGGCTGTCGCGAGCCATGATTGCCCATCCACGGCATGGATGACAGAACGAGAGCCCAGCTCAAAAAAGCAAAATAAAAAGCTCCTTTTTGTGAATAAGCGTTGCTGTCCAGGGCCCAGATGCGCTCCCTGTGACAGGCCGGTTCTGGGCTGGCCTTCCCGAGTGTGTGTGGCCCATCCCGGCAGAGCTGTGAGGACGTCAGGACCACACGCCACCATCATGGGCGACGACGGGCAGGGCTTTCAAAGACGCTGCTTAGTGCTCATTCCTTTCCTTTTCCGAAAATGCCGAGTCGAGTCTTCGTGCCTCTAAATGCAGAATTATGTTTAGTTACTTGTGGATTTGGCAGCTGGATTTGCATCTCCCTTCTCCAGGGCGTCTCTCTGGGTGGGGTTGGGGTCTTTCTGCAGCCACCGCCATTACCACGGGGTGATGCTCAGAATGATGCCCTCTGCAGCCTGACAGGCACACGGCCTCGTGCCGAATGTGGTCAAAGGGCACACAGCCACAGAAGACACATTCAGTCGTATTTTCTGTTTCTGTTTGCAGAGTCCGTTTAGTAGAAAGAGGATCTCCTCATAGCTTACCCCTGATGGAGTCCGGAAAAGTAAGTATTGAGAGATAAACCATCACGCATTTCTGTATAAATGTGAGTCTGAGTGTTTGGACTTTGGAGTTTTAAGAAATGTATTTTATAGAATGTTTTTTCCAAAAAGCTTTATTGAAAGTAATGCATCAGGACTGGGTTTGACCCTGAGGACAGAAGCTCAAAATAACACTTTACAAAAGTTAGATTTCTTTTTTCCTCATGGGAAATAGTTGGGAAGTAGGCATCTCCTGCTCCAGGAAACCACCGTGGGCCCTGATGCCTCCTGTCTTGTTCTGCTCTGCGTAACTCCTTTCCCAGGGTTGCTCAGAGTCTCCGATGACTGCTGTGGCTCCAGCTGTCACTTCTACATTCCAGCCAGCAAGAGGGAAAAACAGAAAAAGAACGGTGACAAAATATGCAAGCCACAAGGAAGGTGCCCAAGCTAGACTCGTACTGAAATACTGTTGGCCAGAATGTGGTCACTTGGCCATACCTAACTGGAAGGAAGGTTAGGGACTATTTATTACATTGAGTCTGAATGTCTATGAGCCTAGCTAAAAATCAGGTCATCTGTTACAGTGGAAGAGACAAAGCATGGTTCTCAGGAGACGCGAGCAGCTTCTGGCACGGCGGTTGCTTTCTTTTGTGCTTTATCGAACTAAAGGGCAAGGCATGCTGAAGCCTAAAGACCACCCCCTTCCTTTCTGGCCCCAACTGTTAGTGCCCTTCTTCAGTTGATACAATTCTAAAAGCATCTTACATTGTTTCTGGACCTTTGGTGCTCTTACCTACGCTGCTGAAAGACTTCTCTGTAAAGTTGGTTCTAACCGTGGGCATGTGCCCACCACCCACCCGAACCGTCCAGGGGACTGTAGTCAGCACAGAGACGAGGGTGGCAAAATCCCATTCAAACCTAGGGTGGAACATAGCTGCCCTAGAAGGCTCTACAATTTTGCTGTAAGGTGTTTTGCCTGGTCTCAACCACATACAGTAGAGTAGCTGAACCAAGACAGGCCATGCTCAAGATTTCTAGAGCAAACTTTGGATTCCTTATCTGTGGCATCAGTGGAACTTGAACTGTTTCTAGGTCAACTCCCACTAAGAAGGAAATGTGGCCGGGCTCGGTGGCTCAGCCTGTAATCCCAGCACTTACGAGGCCGAGGCAGTGGATTGCCTGAGCCCGAGGATTCGAGACCAACCCAGGCAACTTGGCAAGACCTCGTCTCTACAATAAATCAAAAATTATCTGGGCGTGGTAGCGTGCACCTGTTGTTCCGGCTACTTGGAAGGCTGAGGTGGAAGGATCGCTGGAGCCCAGCAGGTCGACGCTGGGATGGCCAGAGTGTGCCACTGCACTCTAGCCTGGACAACAGAGTGAGACTCCGATGCAAAAAAAAAAGAAAAGAAGGAAATGCTTAACCCCGGGTGTGGTGGCTCACACCTGTAATTCCAGCACTTTGGGAAGCCAATGTGGGAGGACTGCTTCAGTCCATGAGTTCAAGACCAGCCTGGGCAACACAGCAAGATCTTGTCTCTACAAAAAAAAAAAAATTAGCCGATGCAGTGGCACACACCTGTGGTCCCAGGCACTCAGGAGGCTGAGGCAGGAGGGTTGTCTGAGCCCAGGAGGTTGAGGCTATAGTGAGCCATGACTGTGCCCCGGAACTCCAGCCTGAGCCACAGAGTGAGACTCCCAACGCAAAAACAGGAGGAGCAGGAGGAAATGCTTAATATTGACATCCATTACAACAGCAGCCCCAACCTTTCAACATCAGGGACTGGTTTCATGGAAGAAACCACGGAGGGGGGCACGGGGTGACCCCGACACTCAACTCCCACGAGGAGTGTGCAGCCTCCATCCCTCGCCTGCACGGTTCACAACGGGTTGGTGCTCCTGTGAGGACCGAATGCCGCCGCCGACCTGAGAGGAGGCTGTGCGGCCTGGTTCAGTGGCCTGGGAGCTGGGGACCCTTGCCTCCCCGTAAAAGAGGTTGACCTGCAGGGAGAGGCTCCCAGCAGCTCGAGCTGAAACACCGTGGAGGAGAGGTGGAGTCTGTGCCAGCGCTCTGATTAGAGCCCCCAGGCTGGACGAGCCACTGACGTGGCGTGTGTTCCTTCTGGGGCCCCTTTTGGGTTATCCCTGAGTCCACACTCATGCCTGGAAATGTCACCTGGTGACTGCCTTAGTTCAGCGATGACTGCCAGCCTCACCCTTCATTCATGCCCACGGGCCATGATGTGAGGCCTATTAAGTTTATGCAAACACTTAATGTACATAACTTGATGTAATGGAAATTAATGCATTGAAATAACTGAAAACTCCTATTTTGCAGGCGTTAGGCTGTGTTAAATGTTTTGTCGTTCCTTATGTTTTTGTTCCAATTTTTGAAAATGATTTTCAGCAGATTTCTTTTTCCACCTTTGCTGAGGTACAATTGTCAATCAGAATTCTTCCTTTTTTTTTTTTTTTTTTTGG